CAGATTGGTACGGACTGGTGGGTTTTGCCTTTTTCCACACATATTAACAACCTTTTAAGATGCAGGGCATTGACTGCCATGGTTCCCCTGCTTTACCTGTGGCAGGTTTAGGGTGTTGTGTTGTGTTGTGTTAGAGTAGTTCTATGAAAAATTTAGATTATGGATTTGTATAGGGTGGTCTGGATAGGGTTGATTTTGGCTCAGGCACTAAATGACCTCTAAAGGTCCCTTCTAGCCCTACTTATTTATGATTAAAGGTCTACCTAAATCTCAAGGGGATTTACCATTTTTTACGGGTTGATTGTAGAATAAAGTTCTAATTCCACAGTCATTTTGCAGCAGTCCTGCCCCTCGGCACTGATTGACAGAGAGGCCCCAAGTGGGAGGAGGAGTGAGGGGATGGCTTCCATATTGACTGCTAGCTGCCCTTGGTGTGGCCCCACCCCTTGGTGCTGATTGGCGGAGAGGCCCTAGCAGAGGGACAAGGATGCAGCTACCATCTTATCTGCTGTCTTTGTGCCGCCCTGCCAGCCAGCACTTTCTCCTCCCAGCACCAAGGACCTCTGGTTTCCGCTGGGGAGACGGCATTTTATTTTTATTTAGTATTTGTGGTGATTTTGTGGACAATCCTGGATTTTACGGTTTCTGTGAAATCTGTGAAACTGGAAATTAAATAGGTCCCAATCTATGATTCTGTTACAACCCTAACATTGAAAAATTATGTACAGTAGGACTCTGATTATTCAGAACATCAATTAACCCTGACCTTCCCTCTTACTCTGACTGAGAGTGGCGGGTTCCCTGATGGCCTACCCAATAGCAAGCTGTTAGGGAGCCCCACATACACTGTGCTGCCACAGCCGTTTGAACAGCCCTGAGACTCTTCACTATCCAGTAAGATAGAAACACTCATTATTTTGGATAATCGACATTCTACTGTGTTCAGAAACCACGCTAGTTAAATCAGAGAGACATCAGTAGTCCTTGCATCAGAGTAACCTCTCCATATTTCTTTACTAGCGTCCCATATTATTAGTACAAGAAATATAAGTGGTCAAAATATTCATTTTTTGTTTCATTTGGTCAAAAATAGGGAAAAATGTTTGCAGAATTTTTTCTTGATTCCCCCCCACACTCCTACCAACCCTCTATGTGCTGCTGGTGCTCTCATGGTGGTAGGGAACTAGGTAAGCAGAAAATCAAAGTCTAAATGATCTGTTTACACACACTGACTCATTCTTGCATGCCCTCAAATCTAATTTCTGCCCTGTCCCTATTTCTGAAGATATAGTCACCAGGTGTTCCAACCATCTCTTCCTGCCTATACCCAAGGGCCTTTACTGTGTCCTTTGCTGCTGTCATTAGTGTTTAGTGTTGCTCTTTAATGTTTTACCATTCTTAGACTTTTACAGTCATATCTTCTTGTGTTTCCTGTCTTGCTTATACTGCTCATCCACGGTCATCTTTGGCAGCTCCTTTTTCTGTGGGTGTTCTTTTTGTTTATTAATCCATCCCTCTCTTTTCCCTGGATTTTATCTCAGGGTAATACCCTCTGCTCATACAGTTTTCCATTGATCTGCATTTGATGATCAGAAATCTTCCTCTTGGTACCTGTTCTACCCTGCTCTGTCCTGCCCTATACATCTGCCTCTCTTACATATGTATTGGAGAACCCAGCCTTAGCTCAAGCTCAGTGCTGTTCAACATGCCAAAAGTAGCATATTTGTCCTTTTTCCCTTTGCTGCTGACAGTTGTCAGTAAGAATTAAGAATGACTCTTAAAGAAGAACCAGTCACTATTTAGCATATTTACTTGCATAACACACACACCTTTATTCCAAAAATAAGTCCTTCAAAATTGTGGTGTATGCCTTAAACAGGGAAGCTGAATTTCTGCCTAGTATAAAAGCATGGAGACACTGTAAGATGGCTGCTGCTTGTTTGCCTTCTCTCTGCCACATATGGTCAGAGGGGCAGAACCATCAGCAGCAGTAGCAGCTACAGTTTTAACTCTTTTACAGCTGAATTGGAGCAGGGACAGAGCCTAATCTTTAGCTCGCTCCCCCTCCCTTTCCTGCTCAGGCAAGAGCAGTCAGTTCAGCTGTGAGTGGATTAAACCTCTAGCTTTTGCCTGAGCAGGAAAAGAAGGTGAAGATTAGACTCTGTCTCTGTCTCCATGCAGCCCTAACTGTGGAAAAATCTTTTTTTCTTCATTCTGCCTTCCCAAAACAAGAAGCTGTCTTACTTAGGGGCATGTGGTGTGTGGAAAAATACAGCAATAACAAACTAGACCAGGGGTAGGCAGCCTTTCTGGCCATGGGCTGGAATGACCTACCCTGGGTCAGAGGTGTGTGGGAAGGCAGGTGTTAGGACCTAGTCACCACTGCTACTTGTCTCTGCAGAAAGTGTGCACAGCCAGTGCTCAAACCTGTGGTGGCATGGGGAAATACCCACCCACATAGCTTCCCATTGCTGAATGCCACTAAAGCCCCATATCCACAGGCCAGATCCATTGGTTCTGCAGGCCAGGTCCAGCCCATGGACCGTAAGTTGCCAACCCCTGAGTAGACTTATTAGACTAGGGCATTGTAACTGAAGCTTCAGGAGAAAAGTAGGGGTGCACCGATAGAGATTTTGGGGGCTGATAGCCAATTTATAAGGAGACATATTGGCTGATACTGACCAGATTTCAGATACAGCTGTGTGCAGCTGGTAAGTCCACTTCGGTGGAAGGAGAGGGGGGAGGGGTGGATCAATGCCCCCTGCGGTCAGGGAGGGGGCAGGGGCAGATGCTGCCTAGCTGGGGCAGGGCACAGGATGGAGCTACAGCTCGTCGGCAGGGGGGGCAGCTCCCACCACTGCTTGCACCCAGAGAGGGCATGGGGGGGTTGTGCCCCTGGATCTGCGTGGAGTGGGGCGGGCAAGCTGGAGTCGGGGCTGTGCTGGGCTCTACTTGGTGGGAGCTGGGCTCAGGGAGGGTGCTACAGAGGAGGTGCAGCCACCCCAAATTTTGCCATAGCCCCGCTCCCAGCACTGGCACCCACCTAGCACAGCCCTGGCTCTTCCCGGTGTGTGGGTGGAGGCAAGGCATTGAGCCGAGGCTGTGCCAGGCAGGTGATGGTGCTGGGAGCAGGCCTACAGCGAAATGTGGAGA